ATTCCCTACCACCATAACACCAGCACTTTGCACCATTCCCTACCACCATAACACCAGCACTTTGCACCATTCCCTACCACTATAACACCAGCACTTTGCACCATTCCCCGCCACCATAGCACCAGCACTTTGGATGCCCTTGGCAGTGATTGTTTTTCCTATCAGTGCACCAAAGCTTTGCCTGCCAGCTGATTTTGGCCCCTGCCTCTCCTGTTTGGATTAACTCTGCCTATATTATTGCTTTACCACGTTCTTGGCTTCCTGCCTGTCTAGTGACCTCGCGTTTGCCTTCTTTCATTTTGTACTTCAGCCCAGTTGGAATATTCTGGTGTTACTGACCTTTAGTCTGTTCCTGGATTTTCCTGTGCTTTACCTCTTGTACTTTGTCATCTGATTTCTGTCATTGCCAGTAAACACCCTTCATACTGCCCCCATCCAGGCATTTGGAACCAGCCTCAGACCCCCGTGACATTGGTAATTTGTTAACAAATTAATTCAAATACTTTATAAACATTAGAATTCAATCTCGACAATTACAAACTTAAATTAACAAACATGGAGTATCAATGGAACAAAGGTGTGGAGAAACTGCAAACAGTCAAAACCCTGATTTGAAAAAAGAGTTAGATGAGAGACACATTGAAATAAGTAAGTTGTTGCACCTTTATTTCAGTCAGCTCTTTGAGGAGCACCTTTATGAAGTTATGGGACATACAGTCTCAGGGCTGACCCATCATTCCTCTCCAAGTCCTCCTAGTAATGAAAGGATACAGTGGCAGGATGTCATTACCATTATTAACTAGTCAACACATCATTCAGCATAAGAAGATAATGAGCTAAACATATCAGCACTGTAGAACTTACATAGTACTTCCTCAGTAGTGGCAAGTACAAATTTTTCCATCTTCGCATTGGCACTGGGCTTGACCACATGGCTGTTCATCGTTTGACTTGTTTTGCTACTTAACTGATAATCATGAAATATTTAACATTCATTTTAATATCCTGGAGCTAATTCTGGACCCAGAATATTATGATTCAGTCGTTTAAACTGTAAGTACAGGAAGACCTATAATGAGTCAGACACTCAGACGTTGAGTACAGCGTCTAATGTGTAATGCTTGCCTCTGATTAAGACATTGGATTAAACTCCCATCAGCTGAAGTTCCTGATTAATACAGGACATTCTTCTGAATATACTGGCACAGGCAGACAGGGGCCGTGGTGCAGTGAGGCCTGTCAGAGTTCAGTGCGTGCAGTGAAGACGTCGGGGAGGTGGGGAGCCACTGGGAAGCGGAGAGCTTGACGTAGGTCGCGCTGTAGGTCATCAGGAGACGATACGCTATGGTCTGCACAGACAATAGCGATGGGTTTGCATGTGTAGTACAATCATCGCATTGCTTTCTCAAAATGTGTTGCAGAATAGTATATTCGTGCAATGATATCTAGGATGTTGAAATGAAACTTAAATTTCAACCGTCCAACATAGTTACCCATATATATATTTAAACACACAGCCTACTGTGTAAAAAGAAAGAAAAGACAGTGAAGGAGAAGAACAAATACTGATGGGGGGGAACCTTTAAGGGAATAAGGTCAGCGGACTGCCCACCCATCCTTGGCATGCTAACCATGTAAGTTAAGTTGGATATCAGCAGATACTTTGGATATCGATACATTACTAGAAGTGTATTGGGAGGAAAACCTGTCAGCTTGTAGATTCCTTTGGCTGTAAGGTATGTTGGGGCAGAGGTGGAAAGTTCAGGTCCAGAAAGTACAAATCCATGATTTTGTCACAACCCACCAGTTGAGTTACTCTGTGAATGAGACTTTTTATACTCAACTGGTTGGTTGAAACAAAATCTTGGTCTGGATTCGTACTCTCTGCACTTGAACTGTCCACCTCTGCTTAAGGGCCACATGGTGCACTCATTGTTGCTTTACTCTGGCATTAAGTTGCTTCACCGAAGCCAACATTAGTACAGATCTCAGTTCACCTGGCAGCCCAGATGTGTGTAAGCTGATGATAGCAGGCAACCAGTAAACCTGCGTTCAGTGCAACTCTCCATGGAACACAGCAGAACAGGTTCACAAAGCACATAATCTGAAGCTTTTATCCAAAGCAACTTACACTAGAGAGAAGGGTAACATTTTATGTGTGATTCATGGGACACAAACCCATGACCTTTGGGTTGTTAAGCTACAATAAGTCATGTACCTTATTTAAAAATTATGTATCAAACCTGAGAAGAGAGTGTTTGGTCTGGCACAAGGCTGTAGCTCTTGGTGAATGCTGACTCCCTCTGGCTGTTTGCAGTATTGCGCCCTCTGCCTTCATTCTCTGTGAGCAGGGGTCTTGTTTCCTCAGACCGCTCCTCATCTGTGCCTCCATGTCCAATATCGTGGCTTGATACCGTAATCGGCAGGTGTAGATGTGACATGCTTCGTTTGAGTCTTTTCTACAATAGAATCAACAGCATTGATCATTATATAATTATATTACTTCTAATATATAATCACTCAATTGGAAGATTTCAGCAGTTAGCACAGAGAATGCATGATGAGCCTAAATATCATGCTGTACCTTTTTGACCTCAGTGAGATGTATATTTGTGTGCTAAAAATGTACCTAATATTTAATTGGACCTCTTGTTGTTACATATGTCACTTTGGATATAAGTGTGTGTTTTTATGTAGCAGTTCAGGTTCTCAAGGTTAAGACAGCAGGGCCCTTTGAACCATTAACCTTCTGATTTGACGTTACTGTACCCGATTTAGGTTACTTGTCTTAATTCATGCTCGTTGTTCATTGATCAGAAAACACCACTGTTGGTGGGCTTAGGGGAACACAGGTCCTCGAATGGAGGAAGTCAGGTGTTAAACATCATTTTCTGCCACCTGCTCTTAGTTCTGTATATTGTTTGAATAGCTGCTCTGATTTCTCTGTTTTCATTCAGTTCCCCAAGTCCTGTGGAGCAAGTTTTTATTAAAATTTGTTGTTTTTTTTTTTGTCTGCTTGCTTTTTTCAGCAGAAAAACATTGCTGGAGGTCACACTTCTGATTGTGCACCTGTTCACTGATCTGACCCGTCTCTGTCCCTGAACCACACAGTCTTAGTTATCGTTCTGAGGACAGAACCTGAACAACACAGTCTGAGTTATCGCTCTGAGGACAGAAGCTGTCAATTGTCTTAAAAAGTCAACTTCTTTATTAGTAAATCTACAATTACTGTACTTTACAGCTGTTATTTACATATATTTGAATGAATTTGTGTGAGGCAGATAAATAACTATACATATTTAACAGGCTATTGCATCAATCCTCTCCTCTAATGCACTGATACTGATTTTAACCTCTTGGGAATAACATTCTACATTTCTTCAAGGTGCTTCTCCATTCCTTTTATTTTTAGTCTCATACTCAGCAGAAATCAGCTTATGCAAATTAAATAACGTGAAAATCCATTGATACTCACTAACCTGGAGGTCGGTCCCTGCGAGCTTCATCTGCTCCAAAGAGCTTGTCAGTCTGGTTAGGCATGGAGACAGATCCCAGAACAGAAAGTACAGCTGCAAACGAGGGTTAAGGCTAACGATGAAGGGAATAAGGCTTTATGCCCTGGAGTCAATATATAAAATATGAAATATTCCATATTCTAACCTCATTATTTGGTGAGGGTTGCAGACAGCCTGGAGCCTGTCCCAGGACATGCATCCTCAGACAGAGAGATTCACTAGTGGCCAAAACTGTGGTAACACTTTCAGTTCTTAGAGATTGAAGAACTACATTCAACTGTGGTTCCAGTTACTTATTTAATCATCCAGTGTATGATATTTGTAACAATATTCATGTGGTAACCTTTAAAGCATAATGTAAACCAAAACCAAAAATGTTTGGTGTTTCCACAATTTTCACCACAACTGTATCTTATTTGGGATGCCAGTCCAACACAGGGAGAACATTGTGGTCGATTTTTAGATTCCCAGTCACATAAGTGTATGTTTTTGGGCCGTCAGAGGAAACCTGTATTACCCAGGAAGAATTCCACATACTGTACATGCAGAACAGAAATCGATTCAAACTCACAGTGCAGGTGTGACCCACCACGTCACCCTGTATGAAAGGGTCCTGCTCAGATTTTTAGTTTTTCAAGGATTCTCGTAAAGTCCCCATACAGAGACATTCTGATTCATCCAGGCCCACCAGCAATCTGTACTTCCATAGCCTCTCGTTCACCTGGACCAGCCTAACATCTGTGTTAATGTTTATCTGGAAAAAAAAACAGAAACAGTTTAGATGCACTACAAGTATATAGCTTGAAGTATATAGCTTGAAGTATATAGCTTGAATTCCAGTCAGCAATATGTATCACCTATAATAGAGGTCTGATAATGAGCACTTTGACATGTGAGTTTTCAAAGCAGCAGGAGGCATGAGTTTCAAAGGTCAAAGAGTCAACGTCGGAACTGTAGGTGTATCAGACACAGAACTGAAACAGTATTTATTGTGTCAAGGGGAGCAGTCTCAAAAATCACCACTGCATGTGCCAATCACAGACCAGCTGCTCTGGCAAAGAGGAACAGCGGTCACATGTTAATGTTCACTGACAGGGACAAGCGGACACCTAACAGGAAAGTTCCAGAACACCACAGAAGTACCGCATCAAAAACGACCACTGTATTACACTGTATTATCACCTTTGTGACTCAATTTTTTAAAAAAGCATAACATGCTAAACTTCACAAAGCTAGAATTCAGGGTTGATTCTAGGATTTGCCCATAGGGGGCTCAGACCCCTGAAGAAATACTGGACGCCACCCCCACATGATTAAATTCCCCGGAAGGAGGGAGGGTGCCCACGATTAAGTTTGCTGAGCCATGGGGACGAAATGTATACTGTATGAACCTCTGGGGACGCAGTGCGTAGGTGGTGTGAGAGGTGTACCTGCTTGTAGCTGTGATTGACAATGAGCAGAATCGCGGAGGTGATGAAGATGGAGGCCAGAGTGACAGAGGCGCAGAGAATCCCAAAACCGTCAAGGTTCAGCCTTATGTAGAGATGGAACGTGGAGTAAAGGCCACACCACACCACCAAATACAGCACCTACGACAGCAGCAGAGCGCCATGGCAGTGCCACCAAACACAGCAGCTACGACAGCAGCAGAGAGCCATGGCAGTGCACCAGTGTGGGCAGTGTGAAATGTATTTGATGAAGTGTCAGATGACAAATATCCTGCAAAGCTATGGACAATAAGGTGGGTTTAATATACAGTTCAAGATATTTTGCTAAGGTGTTTTTGTAACAAATTTTTTTTTGATAAATTAAGATTTATTTAAGATTAGTATTAATGTTGCAAGGAAAAATATGAGTCCTTCCTGATATTGACTGTTCTCTGCCGCTCACCAGAGCAAAGACGAACTGAAAGACCGAGGAGCTGAATAAGAGGTATCTTCTGACTGAGGGGGAGTCCAGTGCGACTTGTAGAGGTCTGTCGAAATCTTGAGCAGGAATCTGGAAGCCAGCATGATATGTAAATGTGCTAAATGAGAGTAGCTTTGTCGTTTTGGATTTTGCAATCTGATAGTGCAGTGATGTGTGGAGAGTAAGTTTACATGTAGCAGAGATAACAGGAAACAAGTGCGGATACAAAGTAAGCACAGGATGAAGGATACACACTGACATTAAAGCCGCGCTGTTCCAGCAGAGCTCGGCAGTGGGGGATGTCGAACTTGCGACACAGTTTGGGGCAACTGGGCACTGCTATGACACACTGTCCTGAAAAAACGGAATGAGAGAACAAAAGAATGAGACAGATGCATTGTGGGAAATATCAGGACCCATCACACCGTGTTGTTGGTAATGTGGGGAGCATCGCTTCTGGCAGTCGCACCAATAGCATCAACATTACCGTTTGTCCATTGCGGACCTTCTCCACACTTTTTTGAGAAGTGGAGGCGTGGTGGGGCTATGTGGACTTCACATTCATGTTCTTCACTGTCTTCTGTGATCCCATCTTCCATTATCACAATGGTCGGGAAGAAGACCCTTTGTGACAACATGAGTAAAAAGTGAAATGGGTAATCAATATCAAAGCATTGATTATTCACATGAACACAAGTAGGTATTCTAACAGAAGAAGGTCAAGAATGATATTACTATGTATTTATTTGATATGGCTTCCTGCTACATGATAACTGAATTGTAACATATTGGGCCTGTGTAGTGTCCTGTTAGCCAGCCAGCCACAGCTAGCATTAGAGGAAACCATTATATCTGTTATCTGTTTATCTGTTTATTCCTGTCAACAATGAGTTAATGCCTGAGTATTATCACATAATCTTTGTCATATGTTCAGGGATGATGAGCTTGACAGTTTCTATACTGAATTATAGACATAGTTACAAAAACCTAGTTATAGATAAGTTTATTTTTTTGTGAATAAATTTGTCTGTTGCACCAGAACAACAAAATTCTTATAAAACATTTCCATAAAAGCCAATCTAAAACTGACACCAGAAAGTTTTCATTGTATACAATGACAGCAAGTATTTAAAACAGAATGAACAAAAGCAATTAAAAAAAATTCTGGTAAATATATGTGGGAAAACGAACAAAGAATCACAGACATACCAGGAGAAAGCTGATCGTGCGGCCTGTCAAACACCAAGCATCCGGATTTGTTTCATGTCATTTTATCTCTCGATTTATGAATCCTAAGAATTAAAATGCTAACGTACGACGGCTGCTGCTGCTCTGTGCCGTCTGGCTGCTACTGAGAGCGATTTCGCCACCCGGGTGAGAGAATGTCGTCCATGGTGTGGGAGACTCTGCCCCTGGCTCTTTCTTCACTCGGTTGGTAAACAGTCTGTAATCTTCTTACTAATTGTGTCTTTTATCCTGACTCGTGGACTTTTTTGAAACCACCGAAATTTCTCCACTTCCTGCTGCCTCTCCCTGATCTCACTCACATGTGCAGAAGGACTCAGTCTCCATCTTCTCACTAGCATTCCTGCATAAGCCTGCGTTTCCCACAGAGAATATAAGGGGCTATATGATATTTATCAAGTCATTGTGTCTCATCCAAAGGTCTAACACAGGGGTGCCCAACTCCTGTCCTGGGGGGCCAGAGCCCTGTGTAGCTTAGTTCTTTCCCTGTTCCACCATAAATGATTCAGCTCAAGAGCTGTGTGGTAATTAGCACAAGGAGTTGAATCAGGTGTGTTAAATGAGGGGAAACCCAAAAATGTGCAGGGCTCCGGCCCCCCAGGACTGGAGTTGGGCACCCCTTAATTAAGGTCTAACATCTTAATTAGAATTAGAGAACAGCCATTAATGGAAAGAAATAATAAGACAGAAGCAAGTATATTGATAATTAGCATCACAGTAACAAAGTACTTTCAAGTGTTTTGAAAGGGAATTGTGAACTTATCTAGTCTCCTTCACTCTCAGTTCCCTGTTTGGGTTCTGCTAGGGCATGAGAAGCTTCAGTCAAAGGGAGTGTCACATCGTGTCACAGCGTAACACGCAAATGCAATCTGCAGAAGCCAACAGTCACATTTCTCACCCCCAAATAGGCCTCAGGACAGCCTGTTAAAGGAATGTTTAATTGAAAGTTGTCATTGTATAATACATATTAACTCACAATGATACCTAAAATGAATGGTTCACTGGATAAGGGCTTTTACCAGGATTATGTCTTGGGTAAAACAAACTGAATTCCTTCTCTGAAACTGGTGGGGAAAATCCATGACTGAGGCAAGTTCTAGAACTACAGCAGTTCTTCGTGCCACACTAAATGTGAAACAGGAAATGGAGCAGTCGGTTGGCAAATGAGGAAGAAATAATGGTCACAGTCAGTTACGTGATTATACCCCCTCAGCAGATGCATTGAAAATAAAAGTGGTAACGCTTTACTTGAGATGGCATAAATACTTAGTAGCAACTCAGTTACTACTAGAGTACAAATCATGAAAAAGTATAGTATACACTTGAGATGATGTGTCATGATTCATTAATGACAAACGAACATGACATCAGTATTTCATGTGTTATTCATTATTTGTCCCTTCAGTAGTTCATAAAGGTTTCCAAAATTAACACATATAGTAAATATAGTAACTGCTTCTTTATTCAATAATGACAAACACGAGATCAGTATGTAACTAAGACTTGCTTTATGGTTAATTAATACACAAGTAATATAATAATACTATATTATTGGTGCCCCTCAAGTAAAGTGTTACCATAAAATAATTGCACTCATTCTCCCCCTGTAAGTCCTGTCCAGTCACATTTGCTTGTTTGTGAAATGTGGGGACTCTTTCCAGATACGTACCTTCATACGCTAATGTTTGTTTTTTTGCATGCGTTCCACTTGCATTTCTCTCATCACTTTTACGGTGACCACACCTACCTGTCTCTTACCGCCACACTCAGACAGTCCAGAGACGGTGGTGGCAGACGGTCCCCGGGGGCTACACCCTGGTTAGACCACAACGCAGGGGAGGGGCTGCAGTGACCCTCTGGGGTGAGGCGGTTTAGGTCACAAGTCCCGACATTGAGCAGCAGGGCAACCCCAAAGATTTGCATGAATCCTGACCAATCCCCATAGATTAAGAGCATTATGACATCGCAGTCAATTCCCTATCAGCTTTCAGGGATTAATGGCACATTTACACTTGTAATACTTCTGCATTACACTCCATTATATCCTTATAGTTGTGAGATTGATAATCTGATCATCTGTACATCCATTTACATTGTTAACAGAGCATTTCAAAGTACAGTACTTTTTTTCATTGTGTGCATTTTTCTCTATCTGCACAAAATATTTATCCCGGAAATGAGGAAGACTCATCATCATCAGTAGACTAATTCACAGTCACGAAACTGACTTTTAGCTAATTATCATGCTCACTACATTGTTCCATTGAAAATGTAGATAGTATCAAGCTGTATTTACAAAGCTACAATGTTCATTTACTTTCATCCTAAATTAAAGGTCAAGCTTTGCTTAACACTGAAAAATTGTTTGCAACGTGAATAAAGAAAGCAACAAAAAGCAGTCAGTTGGCTATGTTTTTAATTTTAATAGGTAAGAGATAAGGCAATGTTGAAGCATAAAGCATTACTAAAAATGAAATTAGGAATTAAACTGGGTCAGATCAGCCATTGGCATGACTTCTCCTCCCACCACTGTGGCACTGGCTGACATTGCGGCTCGGAAGACTGTCACCTCCAGCTAAATCTGACTAAGCTTCTTGTCTTTGCTGACAGCCCCAGCATCCACCATGACATCACTGTTTAACTTGGAACATCTCCACTGTGTCCATCCTCACACTCACATCAAGTGCAAGGCTTTGGTGCTGGCTTACAGATCCATCGATGCCCAGTCACCCATCTCCATCAAAAGCCTCCTCGAGACATTTGCCCCATCTCACTACCTTCGGTCAGCGAACCAACACCGATCCGAGCTCCTTCCACACCTGAGAAGTGTGATTCTCTGATGGTAGAATGAGCTGTGGAACCACATCTGGTTATCAGACCTCCTATCTACCTTCCAGAAATGCCTCAAGACCCATCTGTTCCATGAATTCTTCCACTAGCCTTACGGCTCTCTATGTTCTCTGAATGTTATTAATGTTGTACTTCTGGTAATTTTATAGTCTCTTTAGGTTATTGCTTTGTTAGAAGTTGCTGTGTAGCTCATGCCCAGTACTGCTTA